ACATCCACGAAATCTTGTTGGCAAGCCTTCTTCGTGTCCTCCATTCTTGCATCATTTGGGATGGCGTTTTTGCTTCTCAGCGCGGTTCGATCCGCTTAAAATCGTCCATCCTTGTGAAGGTCGAGGAGGAATAAATTAGGTATGTGCTTCAGTTTGAGCATGTCAAGGTCTGATAATCGATACTAGCGGTCTCACTCAGTCCCATTGACAGAAATCCAACCCATTGGCGTCGTGTCTTCCCCCCAAGTCTTCATTGACGGTCATCATCACTGGGTCAGCCAGACACCAGCAAACACAGCAGACGCAATGAATGACCAAGAACGCGACGAGCGTAGAAAAAAAGCAACAACAAGCTGGTAGAAAGATGGCCCGTGCTCGTCCAGAACTCACACAGGCATAGATAGATGCAAGGTTTTTTCTATTCCACCTAGAGGTTCCTGTACATTTTCTCATGTCGACATAGTTCCTAGTCATGGCAAGAGATATATGATGTCTTCGGCGATGTGCATGACTACGATTATGCTTTGGAGGATGACGACGGTAACGAAGGCAAATACGGCAAAGCTGAAGCCGGTGTGCGCAAACTTGCATTTCCCAAAATTATCCATTATTAACTCTCGTTCAGGTCTTGAACCCTCGGCAATATCTTCCTAACAGAAGATGACGATCTTATTAAAGATGCTCCTGAGCGTTTACAACTCGCGTGTTCTACCAACCACACTCCACTTCCGACGAACTTCTCCAAGAAGAAAGCCTTGGACTATTTCACTCCCAATGGCGAACTCAAGTCTTTCAGCCCGTAAATGGTTGGAGCTGTGACGTATACTTTGCGACAATGTTCGAGTCTGTTGAAGTACCCTTCATTTGGCATCACAGGCGCGACCACCTCCTTCTATTTGATTCTGGTTCTTCTCCCAGGGATCTTTGGACTTGAAGGAGCTCTAAAAGTATTGCTCTCTGCGTGACCGTCGTCGACGCCCGGCTCAAGGTGACAGATACCTCCTCTGAACAAGACATGCCGAAGTGGCGGCAGAAGTGGCCTCTGATCAAGCGCAAGGACAAAAGAGACGACGAGATGCAATTCCGCTTCCACGACGACAACGAAGAGGAACAGGCAGATATTGATGTCCCGAAACACAAAATGCCCAGTCGCCTTTCCACTTATGAAGTTACCAAGAAGAGCGTCATGTCAGCCTCATATTTACTCGGATTTGGATGAACTGATAGTCAACCACATGCCAGCAATGACTCGCAAAGTCGAGTAACTTATGGCGCATGATCGCTACAAGGCCGGTTCCGAAGATGACCTTCGTGAGTGAATTGCTGGAGAAGAGATGTCGGCACTGGACGTACTCTATCTTCCTCAAGGTCTCGCTCGCTGCTAATCGCGGCAAGATTATGTATGGCTTTACACTGAACCGCAAGAGGCCCGAGCCCTTTCAGCCTGTGCTTCCTCGCCACTGGCAACGAGAATTCACATGTTGTTTGTTTGAAGTCTTCGGTTTCGTTCTCATGCTCATGATCCTTGTAGCCCGTCCAAGTAACCCCTGAATCATACATTCTCTTCGATGCTGCAGCTGTCGGCGTCTTCGAGCTGTGCGACGCGTTCAAAGTCCGGTACGGCTTATTCCACCACGTGAGATGATCAATGAGGATGATGCTATCTTATCTAGACGTCTCCATGAATCGCAAAGCCAGCAGACCACAACAGGCAGCAAGACTCCGTTTGGGGCCGGAGGGAGGACGCCCGACGCGGCCTGGAAATACAGTCTGAGCATCGACCAGGGTCCCCCTGCCTGGCCAACAGCGGAAATGAACCCTCAGGGCGGCGATGATTCAGCAAGGATGGCAATGATTGGGGTTATGATTTGCTTACATTTGCATCATAGAAAAGGCATCGTTGATAATTATACGTATCTTACACTGCAGTACCACTAAATAACGAGTGCCAAGTGCCAGTTGAGGGATGTTCTTCCCAGCTAGGTTTTCGCGATAATGATTTCCAGCAGGTCGCCGCATCCAAGCGTGCGGCAGAGAGTCTTATTGAGGTCGACCTCAAACGAGGGAAGAAAGTTGAAAGCGCGGCAATGGAATCTGGCTAGTTTGAGGGAGGAGTCGAATGCGTTCCCAGTGGTTCACGGGACAGAGCGCGGTCAACATGAGTTGCAAGGAAGCGCTTCTGTTTGCTCGAAGGATGGCCGCGGTTTATGATCCGCGGTGACGACATCAGTCACGTCACGCTTTTCTTCCCAAGACCGCCACCACCACCGCTGTTGGGCGCTCTGCGCTATCCGTGGTGTGGCAAGTCTTGCGTTTTGTCGACCGCGCTCTGCGTCGACAAAATACGCGAGGTATGGAAGGCGGAAGTCTTCCGAGCTGTAACAGGAGCTCATACAACGCTCTTTTCGCCGTCTCAGACAGTCCGCTGACCCTAATTTGGGCTCAACGCTAGAAAAGAAAAGCTAGCTCCCTTCAATGCCGATGGACCGCAAACATATCGAAATGCCTGTATATCTCTCCTGAAGTCACGTATGCAGGGTACGAGAACGATATCGATACCTTTTTTTGTGTCTTACATCAGTGATGAATTATCTAGCAATCGGGCTACATTCTCAGCCCAAGGCAAATTACTATTCCCAAGGCTCACGCTAATCACTTTCGTTATCCGCTCTCTCATGCTGCTCGTCTCTTGGTTTCTTTTCGCTCGATCGTCTAACAACACAAAATTTGTACTCCTTTCTTGATAATCGACAAGAAGGACGGTCGTCGAGCACCTTTACAAAATTTTGGGATTAGATAAACGACAATTGCGACGAAAAAGAGAGCGGCAAGGTTTTTCCTGGCATTGGGCCATTGGCGAGCTCTCTGTTGGCTGCCGACTACTCGTATACCAGTCCCGTCTAGTAGCCCCGCCGACTGCCGAGGAACCCCTCGACGCAGACGACAGGTTGCGACTGGTTTTCAGTATCAGTTATGATGGCTGCTCTAGCGAGTCGATCGGGATCCTCGCAGCTTATTGCCTTAATCTTCCTCAAAATTTTTTGTTTTCTACCAGAGAACGAGTATCTCTGCATAATTCCAGGCAATGTCAGCGATTTGAATCCGTATCTCCGACCAATTGTAGATTTTGGGGTTGAGTTAGGGAAGACTCGGTCCATTGGTTGGCGGAGATAATTGGAGTAGAAAAAAGAGTTACTTAGGCTTCTCATGAATTGGGTTCGTGTATACTCTAAATTTCGCTTCTGCGTCTAACTTGGTTATAAGCGAGCCGCATTTCCTCTTGCGAAAATCTATGAGGACGAGAGCAACCTGCCGCTGAGACGAAATATTGATAAGTCCGACATCGAATTCGTCCAAAAAGTCATTCGCGAAACCTCCACTCCGTCCTGGGTGAACCATGTACCGAATAATTATGGGGAAGCAGGGGCGGGGTCAATGAAAGCCGATGAGTGGCGCCTTCTTGCGACAATCTTCATGCCAATCGCGCTGGTAATTCGATGGGGAGAGCAGACGGGAGCGCACAAGGATCATTTTGCCAAGCTGCTCGATCATAGTATGCATCTTTTCCAGGCCACCACAATCGTTTGTCGCTACGAGACATCTGAGCGCCGCGCTCAAGCATATCGCGAACATATACGGCAGTGGCTTAGTGGCCTTTACGATTGCCATCCACACGCTGAAACGCATACAAAACGCCAAAAACCCCCATGCAGCATTCCACATCTACGACTTCCTGTTAGCATTTGGCCCTGCAATCAACTGGTGGTGCTTTCCCACTGAGAGAATCATAGGAAAGCTCCAACAACTCAATACAAATGGCCGCCTGGGTGGTGAATATGTCTCGAATTTCTTTCTGCTATGTATTCACTCGAAACAGGCGAGCATGAAAAAATCATTACCACAACATGGGACGTATGGCAAACCTGCGGCGATGGCTTTTTGCGTAGGGATTGCCCACCTGTTCTACGCGAGTTCTATAGCATTATGCGTCGCTACCTCAACATTGTTGATGAAGCGTCGGAAGAACCTGTCGATTATAACGATGGCCGCGAACATAGTATTGCCCACTATGACATACACGGACTGCATTTCTCTCGCGCAAGTACTCATCTGGGCAACAGTATGATTGAGTACATCGGCTGGAGCGGCGTCACTCATGTTGGCAGTATCCAGGAAATCGAGCAAGGGCCAACGGGGACCCGCTTTATTGTTCATCAGAACCTACCCCTCGACGACGACAAGAACGACCCCTTTCTGCCCTTCCCAGACTTCCCCGCCTACACATATTCTACTCAAACGATTTTAAAAAGCGTCCTGCCTAGCGATGTTATAGGCCATGTTGCGAGCTTCGAGTTGGGTGAAGGGCGAGTTGTCATGTTGAGTCTCTCCCCGTAAGCCTCGTTGACGTGGACTTTCTGCGCACTGACATTGCAATATATAGTTCTAGGTTCTAGTATTGAAATGATTCCAGCTTCACTCGACAGTCACTAGTACTTCCTCTTTGCGGCGCGATTGCGTTTGATAGCGGTTGCGGGACCCAAGTAAATGTTGAAATGGATGTACGTAGTACAAATAGCCCAGAATATCTCCGCTTCACACTCCCATGAGCCGTCCATTGGACAGCTGCTGAAAATGCATAGAAGGAGCATAGAGCGAACGTCCAAGGGAGGACTGGTCAGTTAGATGACGCAGCAGTCTGATGTCACGTGCATTCTCGGCCTCGTACAAGATTAGATATACGACGTACATAGAGTCTACAATCTATGAGGAGCTGCGTTTGCCAAAGAAGTTCATCCAACCACCGCTGGTATGCGCCTTCTGACCGCCGCCAGCTTGATGAGCAGTTGTAACAGCGTGTTGCGCGGTTGCCCACGGCAACGGTCTGGTGAAACTTGTTGTCTGCGGGAACCGCCTCCTTGGGAATTTGGAGATTGACCACACCGAATAAAAGTTGCCCCCAAGGCACTATGCTTTCCGCACTTTGTTGGTGAGCAGAAAGGTTAACGACAATGCTCGTCTGGTATGTTTTGAGGATGAGATGGAGCATTGCGGGGATTTCCTGGGCAGCGGAAGGCGGTGTCTGCATCATCTGTGTCGCAATTCCGACGAGAGTTGGAAACAGCTGGGCCACCAACGGGGGCAGGACGTCTGCCTTTTGTCTGAATCTACACCAATGCCTTGTTTCAGACCGAATATAAGAAGACCTGACATATAGTGACACACCGGGAAAGCACGAACGACCTCGAGTGAGGCAACACATCCAGCCTGTACATGGCGAATGTCGCCACTGACCAAAAGTTGCTTGATGGCGTCGATAAGACCAGGCCAGCGGGCGTTGGGTAGATCATGGGCCACAATGTCCTTGAGACTGTTGGCGAGTTGAACGGTGATGCTACGTGATGGAGACGCGGCTAATAAGGGAAGGATATTGGCTCGGAGAGCCTCTCTATCGGGTTCGGTGATGGAGGGCTGGTTGGGGCGGCGAGTGGCGGGGTCAATGGAGTACGTGCCGTGGACGCGATTTTTGAGCCAGACCGAGCAAGATTGACGAGTGGAGCTATAGAAGGTAAGAAACGATAGCGAAAACACGCGTTAGAGCTACACACATGTCAATGCTGTCCCCCCCGATTATCTGCAGTAGTCCACCAATCATTCCCGGCTCATTGCCGACCTAACCAGAGTGAGGCACATCGAGCAGAAGACATAGAGTAAGCTTACTTTCAGAATATCGAGTTCAGCAGCGACGGGCATTGGGGTCGGGGTTGAGGGTGGACGCAAAGAGGTTTGACAGGGTCTGGAGATCCATCGCGCTGGAAGAGAGATGGACATCGTCAGCATCGCTGACCGTCACAAGCTCGATGGGAGTGGCATTGCCTACCTGGGGCGGGGGGGCGTCGTGAGTGTAAGGAGACAAGTGCCTTCGCTTTCGCCATCTCGTCCTTGTGGCGTTTCTTTTCTTTCTCAAGGTCCGCGGTCAGCTCTGCTATGTGCCCAGAGTCGAGCTGAGTCCTGATGCGGGCCTCGCTCTCCTTGTTGTCAGCTCAAATGCATACCAGCTCATTCTAGATCTGTTGGATCAACATGGCTTGCTTACATCATTCGCTACGATGGCCCGGAGTTGCGTCATGTATCGTTGATCCTGTGATACAGCGCTGATGTTCGGATGGTTAGAATTTGCTTCAAAGCACAGGGCAGAAATTAGTGAGACGCTCAGGCTACTCGTTCGCTTCTATTTACTATTCCATTCCAAAGCGCACACGCCAGCTGATAATCCCGCCGAGTCGTCACCGTATCAGTCACGTCACACTTTTCTTCCTAAGACCGCCACCACTGTTGGGCGCGCTCTGCGCTATCGGTGGTGTGGCAAGTCTTGCGTTTTGTTGACCGCGCTCTGCGTCAACAAACTGCGCGACGAAAGTCGGCGCGACGAAAGTCGTCCAAGCTGGCTGTAACAACCATGCAACGCTCCGTCTAGAGCTAATATCAAAACGCTTCTCAAGCTGGGCTCGAAAAAACCCTCTCACCATGCAAAACAAACCGGAGGCAGCCGTCTCTAATTTCTTATCAATCTCATATCCGATCCAAATCACGAATCGAGTTTGACCGCCGCTCAAAGAACAAAGATGGGACAAAGAAGCTATATATCCACCGGTACGGACCCCATCAACGCGACTTGCTTTCTTTCTAACTTCGCCCTCGCTATGGCTTCACAGTTACCAGACAGCGACGGCGATGTAACCATGTCGCAGGATCAGCTCTTCGCAGCGGCGGACCTATCCGCGGCGGAAGCTGAGGCAGCCCTACAAGGACTTTCCCAGGAGCGGGCGCGGATAGACATTGAACGAGCTGTAGGTTCCATGTCTTTCAACTCTGCCTTCAGGGCCTCATACACTATGCAGCAGCTGGATGAACAGCAGCAGCAGTCCAGTCAACGTATGCGCGAGGTCGAAGAACAAGTTCGAAGGACCGAGGAGCAACAGGCGGCCTTCCAAGCAAGAGAGGCGCATGCCGCTCTCCTTGCAGTAAGTAGCCTTACGCCCTTCGGAAGGAAACTCGCTGATTGGTGAGGTAGATGCAGACTGCTGACAGAAACACCATGATGGCCTATAAGTACGGGCCGCGGGGCCAACACGACTCAACCTCGTATGCAATTGATCTTAGTCTACCGGGTTTTGTCTCCGCTGCTACGAAAAACAACGCGAACTAGATGAAATGCTTCGACGACACCGCAAGGAATTTCCATTCCAGTTGGTCCAGCACTACCTACCCATTCGGCGCCGGTCGATCAGCAGCCCCCCGGCCATAACGCACGCCGATCTTAATGCCCTCGCCAACATTCTCATCAAAGAGGGCTTTGTAGCCCGTGTCGGCGATGGAGACATAAACAGCGCCACAAGAAGAGTTACAGCCCACCGTTTGAATATCAAAAGAACCCAGGAGACGATATCTCAACGGGAAGACAAAGCTTGGAAGGTTCGCAACCAACCATACGTACTGTCCATTCGATTGATTAGTGTGCAGGCGTTCGTTCGATTGCGTTGGAAGGACAATATGGGTCCTGTTCGTGCCGTTGAAACGCCGCAGAATCGATGATTTGCACATACACCACCCTTCATGGTTTACGGCCGAGACGCCCATCGGCGTTCCGCCTCCTGGGCAGTATACGTGGTACATCGGCACCCGTTTCGAAAAATCCACCTGGAACAACATACTTCTTAACAACGCCGCCGCTCAATTACAAACCGAGCGTTCCCGGGAAAGCATGCTCCAAGTTTTTCTCCCCGAAGTCGACGCCTCGTACATCCGCGCTCTTTTTCTCAGCCACATCAAAAATACTGTTACCGCCTTTAACAGCCGCGCGGCCCAAAATGGCGAACCCGACGCAGCAGCAGCAGCTCGCCACGGGAAGAAAAGGAAAAGTCAGGATCATCAGAAAAAATTGCGATCGCGCAGGGACTCGAAATTTAAGAAGCGGTTGAGGATTGCAACGCGCTTATATCATGAGAGAATAAATGCGGGAGATACCGCAGGTCAGGCGCTAGCTCAATTTTACCGTGATCTGGTGCAACTTTTGGATGTCGGCGGTATGTCGGACGACGAGGATAACAGCGGCGACCTGGGGCAAGACATTCTTATGACGGAAAAACTCATATGGCGTCATCCTGAGATAGCGCTGCATCTCCATTGGCTTGACAAGCAAGAGAAAAAATTATTTCCGCTGGCGCGGCGGTCATTCTATAAGCGCATGGAGTCTTCCAATATTTCCACCCGACATCCCCCGACGGGTCTTCCGCGTAGTTTGTTCGACGACGAGTGGTTCAAACAACAATGCGAAATTAATTCAGTGTTTGAACCGCCACTCGAGCTGTCAAAACAACCCTTCGAGCTTCGTGGATTTGTATCCTGGTAACTAGTTAGTGTCAGTACAGTACATATAGATACGCTGTAGAGCCTACAGTATTGCGCGCATTTGTTAACTAGTAACTTGGCTACCAATAAGTGTTGGTTGTGCTGTCGAAGGGACTCGCCAGGTTGTACCATGCGTGCAAAGCTAAACAGCTAATCAGGGAAGCGGAAATGGCGGGCATCCTGGACGAGTGCCGGTTGAGGGCCGTTCTTCCCAGCTAGGTTTTCGCGATAATGATTTCCAGCAGGTCGCCACATTCAAGCGTGCAGCGGAGAGTCTGAGATTGAGGTCGATCTCGCCAGATGTGGGGCAGCCGCGGACACTCATTGACAAACGAGGGAGGAAAGTTGAAAGCGCGGCAATGGAATTTGGCTAGGGTAAGGGAGGAGTAGACTCAGTGGTTCGCGGACGCAGAGCGCGGTCAACAACGACTGGACGCGATACCTAAATGAGTTGCAAGGAAGCGCAAAACGCGCTCGAAGGATGGCCGCGGTTTATGATCCGCGGTGACGACATCAGTCACGTCACGCTTTTCTTCCCAAGACCGCCACCACCACCACTGTTGGGCGCGCTCTGCGCTATCCGTGGTGCGGCAAGTCTTGCGTTTTGTCGACCGCGCTCTGCGTCGACAAAATACGCGAGGTATGGAAGGCGGAAGTCGTCCGAGCTGTAACAGGAGCTCATACAACGCTCTTTTCGCCGTCTCAGACAGTCCGCTGACCCTAATTTGGCCATGGGCTCAACGCTAGAAAGGAAAAGCTAGCTCCCTTCAATGCCGATGGACCGCAAACACATCGAAAGGCATTTGAACTGGCAGAACGCTTCCTGCCTGACCCTTCCTGACGATCGCAAACATGGAACAATTAGGAGCAACGCTAGGGCCGAGAGTTGCGATTAAATTCTGACCTACGTCATCGCCAGAACGACTTAAATTCGCCCCCTCGTTCGATTCACCCGCCATCCAACCATGCCCATCTTCTCCGCCAACTCTCTGCCGCATTCTCCCCTGATTCCCTTGGCCCTCCCTGGTCGCGGCAAGGAATACCCCGATCTGTCGTTGGCCCCGGGCCATCCTTTTGCTATCAAGCTCAAGGATGGTACCTTCGCTGACGTCTACATCTATCATCAAGACACGCCTCAGGCGGGACTAGAAAAGACTTGGGCATGGGAGCGTACTCTCACCATTCCAAACAAAACTGAATCAGAGTTGGTGGAATCAGGTAAGCTTTTGCTTTCTGCCATTGGAGTTCTGTGCCGAATGGTTTAATGAGGCAGGATTAACGTGAGTCTAACCATCTGGTACACCCTACACTGCCGAAAACACTGAGTTATATCGACCCTTCCATCTTTCCTCGGCCCCAGCTTCTCTCTCGGACCCCACGGATTGCACTTCCCACTCTTACCATCCTATCCTTAGTAACTCCATGCCCTTCATCTCGCCGCGGTACCCGTCGCTCCACTCCAATGGACTTTGCAAGTGCACCGCCAGCCAAACGAGCAAAGATCGCTCGTGAGTATGTGGAGTCTCTCGAGCGACAAGCGCGCTTTCTGGGTGCTCATGTCACCCTTGCTGGCTCCCAAATCAATCAAATGCAACAACGTGTCAATGCGAAGGAGGGTAGGCAATCAGCTCGACCGAAACTCAATGTTGAGGCTCGTCCCTCGACTTCCGAGGAGGGTCTACGACTTGTCGAGGAACGCGATTGAGCAGCGCGGGAAAAAGAGGCAGAGAAATCTCGAAAAGAAGATGAACGGAGGCCTAGGAACGTGAAGAGGAAAGGGACCGTGTGATGAACGCGTCGAGCATGGTTTTCCGCGGGGCATTGACAGGGCGGAAGAAGAACCACCTCAAGACCATTGCCTATGCCCTCGGAATTTCGATGGACGGCACGAACAAGCAGCTCCTAGAGCGCATTACGAACCATCTTGACCAGAACCCTGATGTACGTGCAGACCCGCGATTCGCTGAGCTGGGCAGCGGCCGTATCCGAGAATGCTGAAAACATCAAGGATAATACCCCAGCACCTTCTCATTCCGCTCCTTCACCAACGACACGACTCCCCCCCCGCCGATATCACACCATGAACTCATCTTCCTCGTCCACCTCTTGTAGATATAACAAACATGGCCTATACTGGACACCCTCCGTCTTCCAGTTCATCCATGACCAACACCATACCTTTTACACCTAATCCCCCTTATACCTTTTCTCCATTGTATAATTCCTCGTTCTCTTCATCATACATACCTTCTACTCCCTTTCAAGACTAAATCTACGTGTACCACAATGAAAAGACAAGTTGGCCATGGGCAAGCGGAGCTGCACCTTTTGCTGCCGCTTCCCACTTTTCCAATGCTGCATTGGCCTCCTTGAGCTCGCGCCGCAGCCGTTCACGTTCCAAGAATAACATGTCCCTCTTCTCTCAGCTCGTCCATTTCCCCTTTGACCTCTATTAGCCGCGCCTGGTAACGCTCCAACTCTCCACGCAGATCGAGAGGAGCGCGTTCATCTTGACGCTGTTTTCTACAAACTGTAAGTAAAGGAATATATCACAGAAGCCAGTTACGCACCTTGGAGTTGCTCAATCTCCAGCTGAGACAGTTCTTGCCCCGCCTCTTCGCCATAAAGTCGATCCGTAAATGTCTGGTCTCCCGTCTGCGAATCCAGCGCACCGCCTCGCTCGAAATATGGCCTGCGGTTAATTGGCCACAGCGAAAACGGCCACGCACATTGAGCTTGTATCTGGGCTTGAGCAGCCTCTTCTGCTTCCCGAATAGCTGCCAAATCCGCGTCATGGGCAACGACAGCCCGCACATTCTCTTGCTGGCCTTGGGCTTTCGAAGAGCAGTTGGAAAGATGTCGATTAAGAGCCGAAGTGCTCTTGTAGTCCTTCTCGTAGAAAGGACGCTTGATGACAGCGAGCACGAGCAGAAAAAAGAGCCAGGGCCCAGATGACGGGTAAAAGCATCTGCCTGGAAATTCAGATGAGATGACATATGACAAGTCCAATCGCGCACCTAAGCACATTAGTGTATGTCCCAGCTTTACATTCTACATGGAAATGGGGACTGGATTGACCGTTGGACGCGTTTTTGAGGGGTTGGCCGGTTTGTGAGCGTGTTGTCACCGTCGGACGACGTTGTTTGGCTGTTGTGAGCGTCTTCAGAGCTTCCTAGTGGTGATGCGCAAGTCGCTGACGATATTGACGGTCGCCTGAGGGACGGCGGCGGGAAAAATGCGGACACGTGATCGCCATTATGACGCAGCTATTTGCACGTATTTGCTTGACTATGCTAGGAGCGTTGAGGCCATAAAAACAAGATATACATAGAAAGAACGGATTCGCAGTGTGTGATGCAATTATATATCTCCAATTATTTCTTCAGACAAGAACTTATACATACACAATCGGGCTTGGGCGCGTGTTTCCGCAATTCCCGTTCGACTGAATCAAAAAGTTAGCTTCAGAAGGATGAGAAGTGGAAGAAAATCGCACTAGAGGCAAGATGTTTGCTGTAAGCAGCATGTTTTGCGCATAGTGGCCAGTTGGGGACGAATAGCATTGGTGAGAGCCTCTTTCTGCTCGCCTTCCGCTACTGCAAGCGCTCGCTGGAGAACATAATCTGAATCGCGAGTGAGAAGGGCTTATCACAGTCTTCTTAGTTGGAAAACTCACTGCCGTATTGATCCTTCATGAGCAACCCGATTGGTGTCAGGCCATCAGGTCGCAAAGCCGGTCCCATCAGTTCTTCGATTATCGCCTTGCGACCATCTGAGTCACCAAAGATCATCGCCTTCTCACAGACGTTGGAGGCAAACTTGTGGCAAGCCATTGCTAGCACGCGCCCGCAGGCTGAGTAAGAATGGACGATCGGTCGCAAGGCAATCCGTTTTCCAGAATGAACTGGACGATATAGTTCTACAACCAACGCAATAAGCCAACTTGAAGAGGAAAAAGAAAGGCAAGTACTAGCACTGACCCCAAATTGATCTTGCATAAGATTAGCGGTATGACTTGTAAGTTCATCGAGAAGTGGCCGGGTGTATGGTTCAGGAAGGTGACGGAGACATTGTTGCAAGACATGACAGCCAAATGGATGAGAAGCAAGCCCATGGGCGTGGCCGATGAATGTTGAAATGAAACCAAGTCTGTCAGGGGAAACTCGTTCGATAACCTTCTGAATAACCTTGATGCGAATGAGTCATGTTCATTCCCCAGCCTCAGGTAGATCACCTACGTGATTCCCGTTCGAGTCTTTGGCACATCTGAGAATATGGGGCTCGAGTTCTTGAACAAACTTGACTTGCTGCTCCGGAGTTACACATTCAAAAGCCTTTCATTGTTGTTAGCTATTCGTAAGTTGGTTAGACGTCGACTTGACTTTTTGCACCACGGCAGCCATAGACATTGGATGATAGATAGATGATATGGCCTTCCATGGCACCAACAAGAGTGTCCTTGTGGGCCTGGGTACCATGTTCCAGTAGCTTCTGTATTACCTGCAGTGAGCAGAGTCGTAAGCTGGGGACGGCAAAAGTTGAAGCAACTCACATAATTACCGAAAACATCTTGAATTAGATGTAATGTATTGTCGGGTCGATTTCATCGAATACGCATTGGATTTCTTCACTTGTGGCACTATTGAGCTTGTGTGCCAAACGAAACTGGTCCAGCATCTTACTAGTAAATGAGGGTGTTTGGGTTTGAATCGGCGACTTCCGCGCCATCATACCAAACCCAGTCCCACCACCGTACATATTGAGGATTTGGTTCCTATAATCAGGCTGAGGAGGATAGCTCATGGGAGAGAGCGGTGGAAACATCACATTGCGTGATGCTACATAGCTGCTGTTGTAAGTTGTACTAAATTTGCCATTGTCAATAACGTAAGACAATAAGAGTGGCGTCAAGTTCATACCTGCATTTCAATCTTCTTCTCAGTTATTGTAACCGGCATTGGAGGCAGTTTCGAAGGAAGCATGGGTGACGGCGGTTGACAAAGTATCGGAGAGGTTGGATAGTAAACTTGAAACGGCGGGGGCAAGTTGTAGTCGAAAAAGGTCGGTTGCCTTGGGTCAGGCAAAAGGTCTGGTTGAACGATGGCATCGGTGGTCGAACAATGGTATATGGGGGACATCGGCGGTCGGTAAGCATTCAGATCTAGACTTGCATAGTGCCAGTGCGCGCATTCAGGAAAGGCTTCAGGTCCAAACGCATGCCATGATTGTTGAGGCAGAGGTGATGTCGAAGAGGTGGAAGCTTGTACTCGGAGGATTTCCCTGCGTGAAAGTTGGATGATAGAGCAGCGGAGGTAAGTTGTGGTCGAAAAAGACTGGTTGCCTTGGATCAGACGAAAGGCTGGTTGAACAGTGGTATATGGAGACATTGGCGGTCAGTAAGCATTCGGATCTAGACTAACCAGCTGCGTTGCCCAAATGGACAGAGTCTGCCGTGCACAATGAATATCATCCAAGGCTCGCAAAGCCGTCAAAACTTGTCTCTTGGTCTCGGTTAACAGAACGGTACTATGGGTGGGCATCAGAATTGAAATGCGTACCTGTAATTGAAAATCCACGATTTCTCCCTCAATTCTCAATGGATTAGGATGGAAAGTAGTGCATTTTGAAGGGCCTGTTCGCCCGTATAGGCCGATACAAAAATCTCATGTACTTGCCCAATTCATGGCATGAATGTCGTCCATCTCATCCGTCACCACACCTGTCCACCGTGGAAACCCCGCAATCGTGACCCTGGACTTGGGAGGGACTTCGGACAGCTGATTGAAGGAAAACTCTCGGGTCAAACCTGGTCGGGACGGAGAGATGTTGAAATTGAAGTTGACGAGCAGATTAGCCACGAGTTAACACGCTGCGCTATGCGCGCACACGTTTACTTCTATCCCATCCCAGACACACAGTAACGAAGCGCAAAGCGCGCTCTCGTTCATCCCAGGTTGGCGGCTGTTATCGGAGGAGAGTGCTTGCATGACCATCAGTCACGTCACACCGATCCCCGTTTTCTTCCCAAGCCTCCACCACCGTTGGGCGCGCTCTGCGCCTTCGGTGGTAGGCCTTATTTCCGGTCACTGTTGGGCGCGCTCTGCGCCAACAAACCACTGGCACACATCGTAATGTTGGCTTCTGGTGAGTCGTTCTTATTTTGCCCCGTTTTGTTTTTCGCTGATGGGGCTTTGCGGGCCCAGCTCGATGAGTCGCCTATTCGAAAACTTGCTGTCGATCGAGAAATTGGGTGACTCCTCATCTCTCTTCTTGGCAAGCCTTCTTCGTGTCCTCCATTCTTGCATCATTTGGGATGGCGTTTTTGCTTCTCAGCGCGGTTCGATCCGCTTAAAATCGTCCATCCTTGTGAAGGTCGAGGAGGAATGAGTTAGGTATGTGCTTCAGTTTGAGCATGTCAAGGTCTGATAATCGATACTAGCGCTAGCGGTCTCACTCAGTCCCATCGACAAAAATCCAACCCATTGGCGTCGTGTCTTCCCCCACGTCTTCATTGACGGTCATCATCACTGGGTCAGCCAGACACCAGCAAACTGCACCCTACTCCCACGATTTTTGAACTTCTGGCAATGTATGCGTCTACAAGCTCGATGCTGTTCCCATAGCGTCGCCCACAATTGTCGAGACGATTTCCTTCCCAAGACGGCCGCACTGTTCGGGCGCGCTGTGCACTGTTAATAAAATATTGCCAACTTTCACGTTTTGCGTCGACGGGCGGCCAGCGCGTGTCGTGCCATCTATGTAAGCCACGTGCACTGATCGATGCCGTCAACACAATTGTCGCAACTCGAGCCAAACCACCATGAGGCATCTATGTCCCCCTTCCCTCTCAAAGGTCTTGAACGCGATTCAGCGAGCCCTCGGTCCGTAGTTCTTCACTGGATCTTCCAATGAGCTACTGATTTGCATACTAGTCTTTGTCTGGCAATGGATCTTCTTTCAGGCTACAGAAACGTCCAGCGTATTGTGTGGGATCTTGCTCCAAGTTGAAGACGCCCACGCAACCTCCGAAACCAGGACAGTCTATCCCGGCCTCGATGTTGCTCACGGCCTGGCTTGCGATATTCTCGTAGGCTGCTTGACATCCTTCAATCTCCAAGTGGCCATTGTATCGGGCTCTCTTCTTGACCTCGTCCGCGGTTATAGACAAATGGGAATCATCACAAAGGACCACTATGAAATTATTCGCCTAATCGACAAGCGCATTCGTTTCCTCGCGTTAGCTGCCGCACCCCTCTTTACCGACCCTCCCGAGTGGGAGCCATATAATCCTCGTTTTATCGGTGTCCTTCGACTGGCTTTTTGTTATCGTTACGCTGTTCTCAAGAAAGCCAGGCAAAATATCGACTCGGTACTCCGAAAGCTTTCTCCGGCTTCCACATTACCGGATGAAATCTGGCTCCAAATATTCCAAGCGGTATACACAAGGGAAATGGGTGGTAGAAAAAGCCTCGACGTCTGGAATCTTGAACGGGTTTCGTCTCATTTTAGGTCCCGCGCGCCTAGTCTTCGTCGCTCCTTATGCGTAACTGCAGTGCCACACAACTGGGCCCAAGCCTTCCTACTTGATAGCATATCCTGCTTGACGATTCAGCCCCAGACGCCTGTCTCGCTCGAGACGTTTGACGCCCGGCATACGCCCAACAGCCTCTGGGGTCCTAACCAAAGAATTCTTCCGCCGTTATTGTATGTTCTTCTTAGGGATTGCGTACCAATTTTGGCGCAATGCATTTCCATCGATGGATTCAGTGATGCCGAGTTCGTCGATCTGCACAACGGTCTTGCCACAATCCGCCTACCGCGCTTGGAACGTCTTGGAATCAGAGCCACCCCCTGCGTCGCCTGACGTTACAATCGAGGCGCCGTTCCTACGAGCCGTCTCATTGTACAGTTGGTGGCCCGAGCGCTCTATCTGCAAGCTCTCCCTCCCTTTTGCTCAGCTAACAGACCTCTCCTTGTAGGGGTATCTTCGAAAGAAACATATCAAGTCCTACAACTCGTCGACGTTGGGAGGCTCACGTCCCTCAAACTTCATATTTACAATCTCGGCAAAGAACACCCCCTGGGATTCCCTCGTCTCCCTCCCTTATCGTCAGTTACGACATTCGAATGCGAGGTTGGCGTTCCGCCTGGCATGGAACATTCCTCTTCTGGAAGCGCTTCGTCTGCCGCAGGTGGAAGAAGTCAGTTTGACTTTCCACCATGGTATTGCAGCCTCCAATACGGAACAGACGTGTGTGCGAGTCCTTGATTTGGTTCATCTGGCTCCATGGGACGCGGTGCAAATCCTTACTCTAACTCTGAACGACGACGATCTTCAAGCATGGGGCCTCATAGCAGCTTCCCAGCGTATGCGTAATGTCCACAGTCTGACAATCGACGGTTATAGGACCTGGCAAGAGATTTTCACGCTGCTCTCTGACCCAGCTTGTTTTCCAAAACTAAGAAAACTGGTCGTCAACGCAGATGCCCTTATCTATTTTACTGGCCCGAAGAAAATCAACCTTGGAACTTCGGATAACCCGCGGTTTATGATGGATTATACACATTCGGATGAAGAAGAGCAATTACAACCTGTGATCGATTTTTTGCAATCTCGGGCAAAACAAGACGACGCGTACGGGTCCCTCGATGAATTCATCATTCGCTATGGTCATCCTGTCGGAAATCCCAGGGGAGATGTCGAAGAATACCTGCATTGGATGCTCAATGATGTCCGAGGTTGCTGCCGGGTCTTGGTAGAGTCATATAATGTTGGCCTTATACCCTGGCTTTGGGAACGCCAATGGTTGACGGATGGTTCACGATATAGGGC